TCATGCATTCTCTAAGCTTCAGCTCTTCAGACTAAGCGGTGTGACAAGCAGTGTAACTCATTGTCCTGGTAGCCCTGTCCCTCAAAATACAGAAGAACGGCGACCAAAGCAGACATGGGAAGAGGTTTAATTAAAATGTTGACAATTTGGGGCGTCAAGAATATCTCAAGCCGAAGGTTATAAATGTTATTGACGTTTATGAGCTTGAGTAGCATGCTCCATATTCAAGCCACCACATACTGACATTTATAATGGTCGTTGCGTTCCCCTACACCTTGTCCTTGGAGTATGGAACTCGATTAAATGGTCTCTATGGACAGATGCCAAAATTAGGTCAAACGGTAATCCCTCAACACAGAAAGAGGCAGCAGTAGCAGGCTCAGTGAATCTCGGTTGAAAGTGACAAAAATTATCTTCGACGGTGTGTCAGTTATAAACGTTCATTGAAGTTTCAGAATATTGGTAAATATTAGTGGCTCTATTAATGATTAAATGGCACGATGAGGTAAAATTTGTAGGTTTATAACCTACCAGTACCAGCACGCGCGCCGAGTTGGACTCGTCGAAACAAATATTTTACGAGTATCACCCGTTAAGGTAAAATTTGTCACATTATGAAACTATATAAACATTGGTTAGGATAATCGTCTGATCCTCTAGGCAAACTTTGTTACATAACGATATCTTTATCAGATGATCAGATTTCGCTTAAATTCGGCCGGCAGTGAGTTGTAAACTTTGTCTCACTATAAAAACGTGACAGAGTTTACATTTAGTCTAAGTCAGTGTAATCAAAATATTTGATATTTTAGGAGTTATACTTATAGGCATTTTAAGCAAGAAGTTACCGATTTTTCGTCCTTTTTACAGTTACACTCTTGCAATGCACAGAAGGCCCACATACAGCTCGACGTTATCGTGCTACACGGTGAATTTGAATTATTCACACTTAGAGGCAAATTTTGGAACCAAATTTATTGAAATCGGAGGAAAAAAATATTGTGCTCGCGCTTGTCCCATATTACTTGTATCACGTGGTGACCCCCACGGTCGCTTCACTGTAGCGTCTTCGACGCTACAGGGGGAGCCGCGCACTTCGTGCGCGGCGGGTCATACAACGTATGACAACATATTACACTGCACACTGACTATCAGTAAAAATCAGTTACTAGTTCGTGTCATTATTGATTATGATTGTACGTTGTAGGACTCACGAAATACTACACTGTGGGTACCGCGGTAGTCCAAGGTACGTGTGCACTAAGGAGGAGGTCGGAGGAAGGAGAGGGGGTGCATACTCCATACGTGTGCTGATCCATCACACTAATGAATAACGATTTACTGTGTACTGGATCTACCAGGGCTTAGCGTTTGAAGCAGCTTGCATCATTTCCCTGATTACCATAGACATTGTCGCATCATGCCTGTGCCATTGTGAACTGAGCAGTTTTTGAGGCACTCAGGGCAGTTAGACTTAGGCAACTCTCGAGCGCCAGTGAGGGGATTCAACTTAATAAGTTACTGGCGTCACAATGAATGCTCATGAATCTGAATGAAGAACAAGAAGTTCCCCTTATTCCCATGAGACTGGATGACGCGTGTTTCTTCATTTTGTTCGTGGTTCATTTGCAGCGAGAGGATTGGCAACTTGTTCATGCCCATGGCGGGCATGGTCAGGTGCTACAAGCGCGAGAGGGGCTGCACGACATATCTGGGGGCCCCCGATTATCAGGGGTCAGATCATGTCACCAATTAGTGACGTATAATTAGTGATGTGATCCATCAGTAGAATTTAAATGACCTAGAAATGGTCTAGATATTTTAGAGTTCACATGTCAATCATCATGTACATCATAGCTGTCTGCTCGACTCGTAGAGCACATACTCCGCACTTTTGATTTAAATTAACAAGTCAATATAGACAATTTTTCGAAATGGTTCCAGAATCCTAAGCACTAAGGGATATGCAGGGAGAATGACTGACCCAAGGTAAGTCTTCTCGAAATAATTCCCCTTTCTTGTCGCCACTTAAAATATAAACCAAAGGCACACATTTGTTGTCGATGTATCCATCAGAGTCAGGTAGCTATTGAGATCCTGTCCGACCAGAGATGAATTTGGAGAAGGCAGGCATATGTTGATGCGATACTATTGTTTATCAATTATCATCTTCCTTGTCATACGTTGTATGACCCGCCGCACACGAGTGCGCAGCTCCCCCTGTATCGTAGAAACTCTACAGTTTCTCTTTCCACTATATATATATATATATATATATATATATATATATATAATAGTGAAACGACGATGGGGGTCACGACGTGATACAACATCTTCCAGTATAGGTATATACCTAAGAACACTTGATCGGCTCACTCCCCTTGCATGCATTTGGCTCTGGTTAGAGCAATTAACTTATTGTACTGATGCAGACTGTGTATAGCTGGCTTCTGCAATAGAAAGTTGAATACTTATAATGTATAATGCCTATATGAATGAACAGTAAAGTGTAAAAGGGGTATAGTAGTATGGGAGGTATAAGGGTATTGTAACGGTCATGCTTGCCAGCTCTGTGATACTGATAGGAGGTATAATAATAGGAGTGAAATTGGTGATTTGGAGGGAACCGAACGTGGAGCGAGAAACTAGCAAGCTAGTTTTGTAATTTCAATGTTCAAGTAATACTAATATAAAAAGTTTGGCGTTGTTTAAACAACAATTAAAGCGGCAATCTGAATCAGTGACCCAGAAAACCTTACCGGTAGTTGTATCACGTTGTGACCCCCACGGTCGTTTCACTATATCGTCCTGACGATACAGGGGAGCCGCGCACTCGCGCGCGGCGGGTCATACCACGTATGACAAACCGGTAGGGGCCTAACTTCGGAAGTAAAATAAAGAGATAGAAAGTTTTAGTTTTCGACAAAATGTTCGCCTCGTAAAACTAAAGTTAGCTCCCCAGGAGCACAATTTGGGACATTGAAGGTTTACAACCTACCAGGACGCGCGCCGAGTTGAACTCGTCGACGGTCCAATATATGGAACAGATATTTTACGAGTATCACCCGTTAATTTGGGACAACGTAGATTTTGAATTATCCTGAATGCTGAAAAGTATGATTTTGGGTTAAATTAAAGATCGTAGCTTTTTAACTTTGCAAATTAATGTTGTTGCCATGACTCTGCATGGCTGAATTCAGATTGTTATTCACGCCGCGCGTGCGATCAGTGAACATTACGTCACGCGCTGACTTACTGGGCCGCGCTCAGCCTGTCATTCCTGATTCCGTCTAATCTCTATTCGTTTATGAACATGATAGCCTGAGGTCCCCAGGTAAGCGCTGACACGCGTGCTATTGAAAAACGACCACCTCTAGTATCACTGCCAGCCGGTAACTTTTGCTGGGGAACACTGAACAGAGTTTTACATTTCATCTTAGTAATTATAATTATATTACAGAGTGGGCCAAAAGTTACTACCCATACGTTGGGTCTTATACCTCCGCCGTGTTTTATATTTGAGAGTTGTTGCTTTGCAGATGGCATAATGTACCTACTTGTTCGAGGTTTCCGTTTGTCAAACGTGGTATGACCCGCCGCGCACGAGTGCGCGGCTCCCCTGTATCGTCAGGACGATAAAGGGGGGTTTCACTATAGTGAAACGACCGTGGGGGCTGTAGGTTTACAACCTACCAGGACGCGCGCCGAGTTGGACTCGTCGACGGTCCTGTATAATATGTCCTGTATAATATGTCCAATATATATATGGAACAGATATTTTACGAGTATCACCCGTTAACCGTGGGGGTCACAACGTGATACAATGTTTTATATGAACATAATAGCCTGAGGTCCCCAAGTAAATCTCGGTCATCTGAGAAGCTACAACTCTTTTTTTTCAGGACAAACGTAATTTGTAATTCGAATGGCCAAACATAATTTAATAAAATTTAGCTCGGTCCGACTATCCAAACTTTAATTATCAAATAAATGCCTGTCCATTGTTGTAGGTTTATGTCCTACCAGGACGCGCGCCGAGTTGGACTCGTCGACGGTCCTGGAACAGATATTTTACGAGTATCACCCGTTAAGTCCATTGTTAATGGACTAGCCCGGCGCGCGCTATACAGATACGATTTCGTAGCACTATGCACTAGCAGTAGCACTTGCCTCGGGTCAACATTTCGAGAGAAAAGCGACGCGTGCTTCTTCGAAGAAATTTAGACGAGTAACATTTAATGGGTGATACTCATAAATGATAAAATATTTGGAACAAATATTTTGGACGAGACCAACTCGGCGCGCGTCCTGGTAATGGTAGGTTACCTGGGGACCACTTGTAGGTTTACAACCTACCAGGACGCGCGCCGAGTTGGACTCGTCGACGGTCCAATATATGGAACAGATATTTTACGAGTATCACACGTTAAGGGACCACAGGCTATTATGTTCATAAACATGACGGAATGACAGGCTGAGCGCCGCCCAGTAACCTGGTAGGTTGTAAACCTACAAAGTAACATCCGTCAAATAAATGCGAAAATGGACCTTTATTTTTTTTTAAAATGAACACGAATATTTCTCGATTTGACAAATTCCTCGAACCAGTGGTGGTACTAAGTCGGGCCAGAAAGAATTATTTCAATTGGGCACTGATCAGTGACTGAGCTATAAAGGCCAACGTATGGGTACTGACTTTTGGCCCACCCTGTATATCAAGACTTTCAAATTTACAGTTTCAGTATCACTTGCTACGCGTTGTATACCTCTCTCGTGCGCGCGAAAAAGGGTTGCAACGTGTGTCAAAGTATCACTGTTAAGATAGTGGGTAACGTTCTAAATTATTGCAGGTCAGGCACCAAGGTCACCTCAAAATAATCGTGTTAATAACATGACTGCTATGAACGATGTTTGAGTTAATGTTATTCATAATTACTGCAGGTATACGATTTCAAATTGAACTATTAAAGCCCATCGACTGGAACAAGTTATAGACTCAATTTATTAAATTGAATTAAAGAACAATTACAATCAAAACAAAATTAACAGTTCAATTTCTCAATCTTCTTAACAAAACTTGAAGTAATAATGTAGAATTCGGTGCATCAACTGTGGCTAGTTGAGCACGAAATTCATTTCTCGTCGGTGAATCAGATTTAATGAACCATATCTTCTTATTAAAAATAGAGAAACTGTAACTGAGCTACGATGATTAGCTATATAACCCACATATCAAATGTCGTATTTAGTAGTAATCGAAAAATATGAGACGTTGGCCGCACCATTTAAAACAGTGACAACTAAACGAGATGGCTGATAAAAGGGTCAGACTCAGAGAGAATCGTCTCCACTCAATTTGTCAGCTTTATAGTAAACAAATACCTCTAATACTTTAAACTAGAAGCATATTATTGGATGGAGAATTAATATCTCGACCGCTCTCAGACATCGTCGGGCGGTTTCGATAGAAAAAGGCCACAGCGCTCAATAACAAACAAAAAGTAAGCAGAAACACCTTTAATTTTAAAATATAAGTTATTACATCTAATTTGGTGGATAAAAATGGGGAAAGGAGGAGTAGCTGAAATAAGTTGCTTAGCAACCGTAGAGAGTGGCGATGTAAGCACTGAGTGCACTGCTGACCCCCGCCAGACCAATGGCTCCCATCATTACGCCCTGGAAACAAAATATTTTCATTATAAATTAGTGAATCAAAGATATAAAAAGGATGGATTAAAGAAAGTTTCTGATTGACACGGAACTAAGGTAAGGGCATAAACTATGCGTATAACATTGTCTGATAGTTAGCAACGGTTTTAATAAAACAAGGATTGGAAAAGAACACTAATTACACTAATTACACTAATTACCGTTTGAGACTGCTCCTTCAGTGATTGAAAAAGAACACTAATTACACTAATTACCGTTTGAGACTGCTCCTTCAGTGATTGAAAAAGAACACTAATTACACTAATTACAGTTTGAGACTGCTCCTTCAGTGATTGAAAAAGAACACTAATTACACTAATTACAGTTTGAGACTGCTCCTTCAGTGATTGAAAAAGAACACTAATTACACTAATTACCGTTTGAGACTGCTCCTTCGGTGATGGTTCCGCTAAAGCCTTCTTAGATTCCTTCTGTTTCTTTAGGTCTTTTATCTGGTTCTCCAGAGACTTAATCTTATCTGTAGGAGAAAATAATAATAGATCCAGAGATGCATAGTACATAAACTCAAACAAAAATGTTTTCCCCTATATGAGTAAATTCGCAACTCATCATTATGTGGTTGGAATTAGATGTACAATTGACTATCCGACTAACCTAAGCTCTGGATGTCTCCGTTTTCAGTGACGGTGGCAGGGGGAGGGGAGGGGGTGGTGGGTGGAGTGTTCAGCTGGACTTGCAGAGTCTTTTTCTCTTTCGAGATCCTGGTCAGCTTATCTTGGGTCTCCTTCAGGTTTGCCTTCACGTTCAGCAGCTGATCTTTGCTGCGCTTAGTTTCCTTCTGGTTGGAGACAGCCTCTTTGGTGGCTTTGTTCAGAGCAGCCTTCAGATCTTTAAGTTCTTTTTCATTCTTGCTGATCGTTCGCTCGGCTTTGCCTGTGATGTTCAATGTTATGGTGATGGTAGGAAAATTATGTCCGAAAATGCAAGGAGTAAAAACAAAGACGCAATGAAGTAAATAAATCGTCAAATCTTGTAAGTTAGGATGTAATATGGTTATTGGTTAACATTTAAATAACACGAATAGTATAAATGCAATGCCTAATAACAATTCTTAATTTACCCACGGAAAGCAATACAATATCAGCAGAAATGCAATCAATAGTCATGCGTTTGATTTTGAAATACTACCTAGACAATTATTAATGATCTGGATCATAATTATGGAATTCTTCTAATGTTCACACCAAAAATCGAATTATCATATCACATTCATATTATATGATCTTTGGGGTTCAATTTAACAAATCTAATCGTGACTCTTGACTGACTACTGATTCTACAGCTTTTAAAAATTAAACGTTTGTGTTTGATTTTGTCCACGACCAATATTTTAGTTTAGATGATGTTGGACAGTAATAACATGCTGGGATTTAACTCAATCATGCGCGTATTATATGAAAAGATACATAGTATTAAATTTGGACTATTAATACCATGGATAAAGTTCAGTCAGCTCAGTTTACTTTCATGTTCATATTGCACTAGAAGTTGAAACACTGCTCAGCAAAATTGGAGTATTTAATTGAATTTGCTGAACAGTGCGTCAATTGAACCGAACTGACTGAATTCCATCGTGATTCAAGCAGCGTGTGGAATGTGGATTGGGGGATTATTTATCAAAGCAGCGTGCACGGATATCGACCGCTTTCATAGCGGTCACGAATAGGCATGAACCGCATTCGCAAGCCATTAATGTTACCTTCCCGCGTTTTTTGGGAATTCTCGTAATTATTCAACGATTTTTGTAATTTGTCGCCACTCTGTTTAGCCTCTGACAATTGCTTCATGAGATCGTCATTATAATCTTTTGTCGACTTGATCAAAGAGTCCTTGACCTTAAACTCTCCTGTATTAATGATATTCATGAACATGCATGGCTCACAAAGCAATAGGCGATTAGCGTAGCGCACATACGTTGGAAAACCATGCTTAGTAAATAAGCAACACAAAGGGTGGTTTTAAAATACTTAATTAGTTAGCCAGTAGTTGTTCTATGATCTATGCTTTTATGTACTTGTTAGGGTATAATATCTGGATTGATTCCATCCTGAATCTCGGATGAACTGTATCGTGTAAATGCTAAGATAAGTGTTTAAACTTTAATGGCTATTGATTTGAGTTCGGAAGTTGAGTATCTCTTAAATGATGTTTCACGTTTGCTTTTACAAATCAAATCGAAACCACAAAACATCTATGAAACTGAAACATAAAGGAGCAAAGTTAAGAAGCCATCTTGAAATGTTTCTACAACTTACCGTCTAATTCGTCATACTTTTGTCGAATGGAGTTAGCTTCGGCTTGAGATTTGGTCAGTTCAGCTGAAATGGAGGTTAGCAATTAAATAATTATTATAAGTACTTCATTGTTACCATCTCAGTGTGGTTACAACATCTACATTCTACAATTGGGACAAACATCGAAATAACATCAGTGGCAAGATAAGCCAGCGGATTATCTACAAATACGACGAAATACAAATCATAAAACATAAAGACAACAAATTTACCGTTCACAGAATCAAGCTGATCGGCCAATTTTTGCATTTCCTCCAGCTTGGACTTGTAGCCAGCAATCTGGCCCTCATATTCGCTCAGGCTCGAGGTCAAGGTCTTAACCTGCTCCTGTTCAACCACGATCTCAGCAGATTTCTTCAGCACTTCTTCCTCGATCTTGAGGTTCATCTCCTCCCTGGCCGAGTCCAGCTCTGTCAGGGCGGCGTCCCTCTCGGAGGAAGCTTTAGCAAGTTGTTCCTGGAGAGTGACCAGATCCTCGTTCAGCTTACTGTGATCACCTTGAAGCGATTGGATCTGAAGCTGGAGATTGTGGTGTGATTCTGCCAGGGCTTCAAGATCTTTCTTGTAAGTTTCTACCTCAGACTGCAGTTCGGCACTGGCGGATTCTAGGTTTTCTTTTTCACCCAGGATAACATCCTTCTCGGATTCCAAGGATTCGTTATCGGACAGAGCAGCTGCTAGCAGCTCTGATTTTTCTTCCTTTTCAACCATGAGAATTTCTTTCTCGGCTTCCAGGGATTCGTTTTCCGATTGAACTACTGCTAGCTCCTCGGATTTTTCTGAAATCTCCGACTCAGCATCTGATATGGCAGAGACTTGGCTGTTCTTCATGTTGTTAAGCTCGGTCTGCAGGGCAGCAATAGTAGCTTCTAGAGCATTTGACTTTTCGCTGGCCTCTGAAAATGCAGTGAATATAGAGAAAGTTCAGGACTGATTTATCTAATTCTATCTCCGTATGTATTTATCTATTCCTCACTCCTGAGCCATCGTTAAAAGCACCCAAATTCATAGCTAAAATCAATGCATAAACACAGCTTATTGTAAAGTTGATAGGCCATAGATTACTATTTAGCTTAAAACGAAGCATTATTCGATGCGAAGTTATATGGAATCGAAGCTCAGTACTATATCTTTAAAACGCCTAGATGTATATACAAGATGTATTACCAAGTTGAACAGCTGCAAGCTGCTCTTTCAACTTGTCATGTTCATGCTCGAGGGAAGTTTTTTCTTCATCTGCTGCCTTCAAGTCATTTTGGAGCTCTACGATGAATTCACTAGCAGCTTTGTTTTTAGTGAGAAGGTTCTCACAATCTGAAAAAGCGAAAAATAGTTGATCAATACAGCGGTTTGAATTGTGTAAGATTTCATCACGTTAAATGCATGTAAATATAAGTGACAGCCGCGCCCAGCCACATACAGCTCCAGTTATCAACACCTTTCCTCACAAATCAATAGAGTAAACACTAAACAGTTACAGATAAGTAGACTGAAACACACGTACACTGTACAGATCACACCGCGCTAATCTTTACCCAGTATATAATTCAATCAAATGTGCAGCAATCAGTGGTTCAAGATGCTGAGGTGTGAGTATAGGTGGTCTCGGTTTTTAAATCAAAAAGGTGGTCTCGGTTTTTAAATCAAAAGAACGTCTCTCGGTTTTTAAATCAAAAAGGCGGTCTCTAGGTTTTCAAATCAAAAAGATCTGGATGATGTGGAGGTGAGCAATATCACTTTAGAATCAATCATGTGCAGCCATTACCTTCTTTGGAAACAGCGAGCTCCTTTGTCAGAAGTTCAACTTCCGAGGATAAACTCAGACAACTGTCTGCCGCAATTTTAGTCTTGTCTGATTCCAGGTTTAGCTGCTCATGCAGTTCAGCTAGTTCCTGTTCGGCATCTGGCGCGGAAAGAAGGCGGGTTCAATGAATATCAGCGCGAAGTATACACTACACATAAGTCTCTCGGTTATTATTCACATATAACAGCAGTTTAATATCGTTACTATTGTTTTCATGCTGTATGTTCATGTAACATTCTCGTGCTGTGGTTACATTACTATAACTTTAATTAGCGACTATATTTCAAATTTAATAAAATCACAATTCACAACCATATCGGCTGTTTACTGCTCAGCAGGGTCACTCCTCAAAAAAACTTCGAGTCGCTGAAATTAAATAACTCTTCGCTTAAGAATTAATCATGTGAGATCAGATGTGCAGCCATTACCTTCCTTGGAAACAGCGAGCTCCTTAGTCAGGAGTTCAACTTCCGAGGATAAACTCAGACATTGGTCTGCCGCGGTTTTGGCCGCGGTTTTAGCCTCGTTTGTTTCCAGGTTTAGCTGTTCACGCAGTTCAGATACTTTCTGTTCGGCATCTGGCGCGGAAAGAAGGGCGGGTTCAATGAATATCAGCAAGAAGGATACGCTGTGCACATGTTACAACAATTTAATATCGTGAGTATTGTTCTCATGCTGTATGTTCATGTAACATTCTCATTTCTCATGCTGTGGTTACATTACTATAACTTTAATTAGCGACTTCATTTTAACTTTAAAGTTTAATTAAATCACAACCACATCGGCGACTAAAACTGCTCAGCAGGGCCACTCCTCGGAATACTTCACCGAAATTAAATAACCATGTTCTCAGCGCCAAACTCTTAATAAATTGTATAGCCGTACGTGTCTTCGGACAGTGTACATCACCACGCCTCATCAGTGCAGATGTAAAATAATGTCTACCAGTGTATATGTAACCATGATCCAGTCAGCGCGGTACAAATAATTCTCAGCAACTTTAACAATTTACAGCGTGTAATTCGATCAGCTCCAATAAATCAAGAATCGTTCCTTCTCCAAGTGCAGACACTTTAGATCATTGAAACTCACACTCACAAATTGTTCTAGAATGTTCTCTCTCTTATTGTTGAGTTAGGACACGTCACTTACAAGGGTGGCTACTTTGAAACGCTCACAAGCTTACACTATATATGGTCTAACAGTGTACTCCAGATGGGTCTTTTGTTAACCATCTGTGCTTATAAATTATATCAACCACTTTAGAACTAAACTCTAATCTGTTATCTGAGCTAAGTTAATTAACAGGTGGGAACTGGTACGTGAGAAAATCGTTTCTACGTATTCAGTGAAGGACATCTAGCACGAGAGCCTTGACGCACGAATCTACCGAGCTTCTAAAGCTCTTCCTGCTCTCTCAAGAGAATTGTTATAGGGTACGCCTACTGTCAAGATTGATTGAGGGAAAGGACCGCTGTACCACGTGACCATTTTGCCACGTGGCATCTGTCACTCTCCTTACACTCAACTCTGTGAACACGCCTCTCTCTCTCTCTCTCTCACTGCACAGCCTAGATGACGTCACACTCTGCCAGCACATCACTCTCTCAGTTTCACACACTATCTCCACACACACTCAACATTCCTCCCTCACACACTATCTCCACTCACACTTAACATTCCTCCCTCACACACGTACTCACACTCAACATTCCTCCCTCACACATATACTCCCAGTTTCTGCCTCACCCTCACACTTCCACACTCAAAAGCACTGGCTTCTCACTCTCTCGTCTCACTATTTACCTTGTTTGGCAGCAGCAAGCTCTTTCTCCAGCTCCTCATTTTCATCCTCGAAAGATTCTTTGGCACCATTTGCATCCTTCAGTGCATCGCTCAATCTCAACACTTCAGCTTCCAAAGTTTCCAGCTGGTCTTTATTGTCGCGGATAGTAATGTTGTGCATGGCGGTCATTTCGATCAGCTCATCCTCCTTCTTCTCCAGAGCTTCCGTCATTGCAGCGAGCTGCGATTCTACCTCGGCCATATCTGGGAGGGGGTAACGAAGAGAAATATTAGGGCACGAAACACAAAAAACAACAAAAAGCGTGGTACGTGGAGCAATGATAATACTGTTCTGAACACTGATACAACAAGACACAAATCAAATGTAATCATACAATTATAAAGGGTCACAATAACAACATTAGCCGAGCACACAACAAGTTTAAGTTACAAATCTAACTTTTCCTAAACTGAGGACGTGTCACCACGTCAGGTAAGGGGCACAACAAGAATAAATAGATATCACGCACAGACTCCCTCTTATATAGACATTAGACACACACGCAAAAATATAATATCCAAATTCCACAATATATCTGAACTCTCGCGAGACAAACAGTGAACAAAAACAGAGGCGGGGCCCGGTACTGCAAAATAGAGAGCGCGCACAAGAACTGGCCGGCACAGTTTGGACGTAAGCTTCGTATACGTGGCAGGTGTTCAAGGGCTACAACAGCGAGCCTGCAGAAATATCTTAACTCGGTGTGGAAGGTATGTGATTTTACTCCCTACTCCCGCATGTGAATTCATGTAAGGCCTCTAATGTAATATGATGATCCCATACGGCCTACCTTCACCGAGATTCATCACAAGATAACGAAATTGATATAGAATAACTCCAAGTCATTATGCATGACATATTATAGGTCTGAATCGTGTCTGCTAAAGCTGCAGGCATGCTTTGTGACATTTTTATGGCGGAACAAGGAGGGAGAGGCATTGTGGAATATGGATACACATTACACAAGGGTAACAGGCGCAACTAGGCGTATGTGAGTCTATAAAGCTGGGAAATGTCCAAGCTTTTAACTCGATCGCGACAAATGACCATCTTTTAATTTAATGGAATTTGATGCCATGTGGAATTTTAAAAATTCGCATTCCTTGGCCTTACCTTCAGAAGTAGGTCGGCCGGTCAGACTCTCGATTTGTTTCTGCAGCGTGTCCAACTCACTCTCCATTCGTGATGAGTTTTCTTGCTCGGCTTTAGCCTCGTTCAGCTCAGCGATCAGAGCTTCCAGTTGTTTCTCTTTCTCATTCAACTTAGCTTCAATATCTCCGACCTGTACGGGAGTTTCCGTGTTAAATACTAGTTAGATCATGATATGACAGAGGCATTGACAAGTTGAGAGGATTCCTATGCTTTAATTGGGAGTCTGACTCTGTTCATGATGGCCGGTTACAAGACCATGTAAGGAAGCAGGAGAAAACCAGTGTTACTAAACGAATTTAAAGTTTGAAAAAAGTAAGAGTGGAAAAAGCAAAAATGCAAGAAAGTTATGAGGAATAAAATTGAAAAATGTTTACAACTAAAAAATTTCGAAATTGAATTACTACTTTACTCAAACTTTGAGTACAGTAGTAATTCAATTTAGAGTCAAAGCACTATTGTTGTCGAAAACGGAGATACTTCTAAACTCAAGCTACCATTGATATCGAATAACTATTAAAATATAATAGAGATTTGGGAATTGGGACTGACCTGTTTCTGTAACTCAGCGTCGTGTCTGGCTCTCTCTTTCTCCAATTCTGCTTCAAAATCTTCTGAGAAGGACCGGGTGAGTTCTGCTTTTTCATTGTCTTTCTTCGCTAATCGAGCTTCAAGCTCATCGACGTCGACCTGCGGAGAAACATGGTTATATTATGCTGAAAAATCTGGTGTATATCAACAAAACTTAACACTTTTAAAGCTTACAAAATACAAATGGACTATAAAAAGTAACCCCCTTAATTCCAACAGATATAAAGAAATCTTCAGTTTACCTGAAGGGTTTTGAGGACCTTTTTCGAGACGGAATTAGCCTTTTCAAAATCGTCGACTTGTTTCTTGAGGATGGATATCTCGTTATCCCGGGTGGTAATGGTGGCATTAAGAGTGGCTACCTCGTTCTTCCTGGCTGTCTCCTCCGACTGTCTAGCATTCTCTGCTTTTAATCGCTCGTGCTGAGGAAGGGAAAGGTTAACAACTTTGTTGAGCAAGCGAGATCGAAATGTGAGAACTGAGATTGAAGTGGGCGAAAAATTTTGGGGTCGATGCCTTAATTAGGTGGGCGTTATAACATTGAAACTTAGCTGTAGTATCACTTCAACAAATTCAACTGTTATAATACAATACATATCTAAGTGTGTGTTTGTATAACATTGACTGACTGCAGATAATGGGCGGGATGGAAATATACTGAAATTTGAAAAGATATAAAAGATGAAGTGAAAAAGTGTGAAAATCAAAACGATTAGAAGAGAAGCAAGGAGACATACTCGAGTGAGATGCTTGGTTCGTTGCACCATCTTAAGGCTCTACTTTAACTGTAGCGAGAAGCGAGCTAATTAAAATCTCAAACAAATACTAGTATATACAACAATACTACAAAAGATCTAATAATCTACCAAAAGAAAGCTGCATTTCCTTGGTAAATATAAAATAAAATGGCTCGCGGATGACCTCCACAATATATATATATAAAGCGTGTATTTATATTGGATGACAGAAGCTACTAAATCCCTAGGTAGGTATAGCTACGGGATACTATTGGTCGGTTCAGAATCACGTGTCAGCGTCACGTGACAGCGAGGGATGATATATGTGCACACAGAGATGTTGACATGTCTCCTGATAAGGTCAGAGTGTCGGATTATTGGCCCATGAGTAGTGGCTGACACGTACGTGGTTTTATTGTTGACAGGTACTCGACCTGATTAACGTCCAGTTTGAAAACTAATTAGCAACGACAGGATTTCAGTGGTGGAGGGTGTGAAACGCACAGGAAGAAAGGACGACAGCTAACGATCATGTGCTTGTTGCTTTTTGGCGGTGAACCAGCAGCCAGCACGGCTGAGAAAAGGGGCTATCGGCGGAGCAATTATATTCAAAATACAACCACGGAAAAGAAGGTTGCAGAGAGCAGCTAGTGGAGGAGTAGGGAGCTAGAATGTACTAACACGAGTAAAGTACAGGGCGTTTATCCGGGTACACGGTAAATAATATTCCACCAAACAGGGTGTTTAAAATCAGGGCATGACAACTACTACTAGTGCTGCGCTTAAGAAAAAGAAAAAGTAATAATGTGATATTCCGGTTGTGGCAAGAGGTGCTGATTCCATGGTGGAACAAGTGAACAGAAAGCTAGAGCTCGTAATTTACTGCAACAGTCTATGTCGAGGACGCCACATAAAGAGCCAGCTTGAGAATTGACGGGTTTCCCCCTGCCCAGGGTATCGAGATTTCATGGGCTTCACGATCAACATTGTGCATATTTTATGATTTAGGTCATACACCCAGGGTGGTTACGAGTTCTCTCTCTCTCTCCTTGAAAAGATTCTCCCGCATTAAAGTTTAACATTGACTTGAGTAACTACACGTGAACAGGAACTCCTTGCTGGATTGGAACAGTAGCAATGCTGTCTGGGAGGTTGACATAATATTGGGTGACCCAGCAGAAGTTTCCACAGAACTCTCCTAATATAAGTATTCTAAATAAGTACTGGGATTATTAGTACATCAATCAGTAGGTCATACGTCTGGTCTGCTATACGTTAGTTAATCAAATGATCTAATGATCTTGATGATTTCTACAGTACGTGACTACAGTACGTGACTACAGTACGTGACTACAGTACGTGACTACAGTACGTGACTACAGTACGTGACTACAGTACGTGACTACAGTACGTGACTACAGTACGTGACTACAGTACGTGACTACAGTACGTGACTACAGTACGTGACTACATACATTAAGCTGGAAGCTACTATGCACTTTTATAGAACATATCGGATATCAGATCCAGGGTCTGATCCAGGGTCTAAGACCCTGAGGGTCTAACAAGAGTTATGAGAGAAAGAATATGCCTACTCAGAAATGAACTAAGCATATTATAGGACACTACGGCGGAGACAGTAGGGCCAAACTTTCCCAAGAGAGTGAACGGCGCGGCGGAATCACACGAAACTACGAAACTACAGCTGAACCAGACATAACCAATGATAATACAATTTGACTTAACTACTCTTTTTAATTTCAAATCTAGTTTATGAGAGCATTAATTTATTTCAATAGCGTAAATTCGTTATCAAAGCTATTAACCTTTTTAATTGTATATGACTTGACTGATAAACCCTATGAGACAATGGAATGATAGAAATGACGTTTTGTCTGGCAAGTGACAACAGTTGATTAAAAAAGTTCGACAATAATAATCAGTGATTTAAGATATCTTAACGTTTACACGACGGAAAGTATATTGAGACTTGGAGACCAAAATTTCATTTGAAAAGAAAACATCAAGTCGGATCATGTGATTAGATTAAGTGCACAGTCTGGTTACACTAGATTTAATACTTTAACATTGGTTGTGTCCGGTTCACCGTAGTGCCCATATCATAGTTATGTGAGTCTCATTTGAGCCGGCGAACTGTCCAATATTTTAGGAAACTGCACCGTAACGTCTTCCACCGGACTGTCATACGCCGTTATGTCCTATACCGTAGTAGCTAGGACAGACCGGCAATGAATTGTTAAAAACAGCTTTCAACAATCGACTTATAAGGGCATGCATATGATTGTCATTTAAAAAACAGTTTTGAAAACGCTTTCGTTGATAAATAAAATACGGACTACATGCCAACAACTTAATATTCTTATAAAATAAGAATATTAAGTTGTTACAAAATCTTTCAACGATAAAACACCTTTTCAACTTTATACAGCGAGCGGTCAGAGATTGATTGCCATGCTAGTCCAGCGAATAAAACCCCTGTATTGTAAGAGCGCGAGTTACCATTATCCGTAAGGTATGATTGTACAGATGTTTAGTTTGTTCACCAAGTAATTTGTAGCCGTTAACACCATTCTCACCATTCTCAACACCGAGGTGACTTTCGCCATTCTCACAATTTAGATGATCATGACCATTTTCTCCATTTTCAGTATCACCATTAGCACTAAGTTGCCCCAACTCCATCATACCTAAAGGTGAACGCTAACAACTCTGCCTAGGTTCAAATATCTATCCACGTTTTGGCTGATCAGGTACGATGGGCGGTTCAACAAATTGTCGAGAAAAAGTAGTCAGAAGCCAAATTTTTTGTTCTCATCGTAAACGGGTGAGCTCTAAGATAAACCGGAGATTATCGCCAATTAAGCCAAATTGACTCCTACACGAAAAGAGATTGATCAAAAGATGCCGGCAACATGAAAATAGGAGCACATCCTGCGGTCAATTAAATATTAATAAAAGACGTTTGTTCAAGCGTACCAGATGTGCAACGTGAGGTGGTGTCTGCAAACGAGGTCCACAAGATAGAACAGTTTACAAACGTCAAACATGGAGTATACTATTATACTTGTATTATACTGTTAACCTTGTTAATCGTTCAGCAACGTCTATACGGAGCTAGTGGCTAAGTGGCATCACCGCACAAAGGGGCGAGATGAAAATAGGAGGGTTACCAGCATTCTTCAGGTACATCATGACAAACATTAAACATTCCAAATTGAAACGGCACAATGGTAACGACAAACACACAGTGATAGATAAAGATATATTCAAAAAGACACAATAAAAACGGTCCCATCTACTCATCCGATTAGTACTTATCTGCCTCGTACGAAAAAAATTCTAAACTTTCGTTAAAACTATCCTGCTTAAAACAAAAGTCAGTGATTAAACCAAAGTCAGTGTTGACATATTATTATGATGGTATAAACGTAAAAACCATGATATTTGGCAAAAAGTATGCTGATCGTCGATCATGAACAGAAGCGGAATCTACAGTTTAAGAGTAAGATTATGATAATAACATGAGATAATCGATTTCAATAAATCAAAATGCCAATCTGAATGACTGCTCGATGTGCTCTCTCAAGATGAATGATCCCAAACCATGGATACTGAAAGCACAATGACAAATCCCGTGATAGCGAGAGAGAGAACATCATCAAATCCGGTAAATGAGACGTTTTCTCTCTGAGATTATCTAATTTTTCTGGGACACAGTTAGATAATCTGTCGTACTCACTAACACAACCACGTACTACGCGAGTATACTGACTGGATTGTGAAAAGTTCTAGCAGTTTTACTCTTCCAACGGTTATTAGTTGTTCATGATTTAAAATCACGATGCAGTGTGCAGTGTAATGCACGTTAAAAACACGACCTCTGTATCACGTATACACTGAAAAGAAACCCGCACAGCTTAAGGATAATCATGCAGTGCTGTGCGCTGTAGAGTTTACTGACTATCCCAGGGTGGTTCATCTTTAGTTGATAAAAAAAGAGAGAAGATAAACGTGCAGAGAGAGAAAGAGAGAATTTAACAATTAATATGTAGTTCAGCAAACCTCTGAATAGTATATGGTACTAGACTTCCCATTGGTGGCGGGTTGCTGAAGGAGCTTGGGGATCTTGGAAGTGTAGGTTGGTGCCAGAATTGCAGATTTGGATCCTTTGATCGGCGCCAGGATTGCAGATTTACTATGTAAAGAGAACAGATAGTGTTCAATGGATTCAAAATGAACGGGGAGAGTTGAGCTAAGAAAGTTGAGCGAGTTGTGTGATTCCTTGAATTAAACCTGAACAAGGCGACAAATGAGCGTTTTAAAGTTGTATTTTCAAGTTTACGGACGCAATGAACAAGTGTCAAGGAGAAATACCAAACACACAGCAGCTAAAAACAGAAATAAGCATCACTTATTAAGTAATGCAAAGTGTGATAGTGGTAAAACATTCCGGACTTTGTGCAAAGAAGCGACTTTTCCATACGATGATAGAATATTCTATGTCAAGAATTTGGGTATGACACATCATTTAGCAACAATTGACACGGAACTCGAAAAGGAATTACTGAGGGCTCGACCACTCAAGAAGTGCGATAGTGCAGTGTGAGGATGGTATTTAAGGAATCCGGAGATAGTTTGAATCTCAGCACATGTAACGACCACTA